TTACAGACCATTTTCTGATTTTTGAAAATGACATTTTGCCCGCGGATAATCTCAAGAACGACAAGAGATATCAATGTCAAACTTTCAGGGATGATAGGTCGTAATAGATACTAGCTGGGTCGCTCCTTTTCATTCGTCGTCGGCACTTCCGGTCACTTACGGAAGTGATCAAAGAAATTGTAAAATTTCAACTTTCCTTTTTTAAATCAATACTTACATCACGTTATTGCATCTGTTTTGTAGTTTCGAAATATGTTGGTCCCACCGGAAACAAAAATGTCAACATCCGGTTACAAGAGAAAAACGACTTAATTTGAGTATTTTTCTTTCCTGTTCATATCTTTTGTATATAAAGTATTTGAAATGAATTTTAATTGTGTTATTCAGACTGCAAATGTCTAGAGTAACGTCAAATATCTTTGTAAAATTCACATCCGATCGTGCATTTTTCTGTCCTCAAAATGAGAAGTTGACTGAGCAAGATCTTGGAAATGGTAAGAGTTTAAGACACCAAAACTTAAATGAGCAACAGACCTTAAGATGAAGCCAAAACCATTTGGGTTTAGATCGTCAGCCGTCACTTCCAGTCATCTCAGGAAGTGATCAAAGAAATCGAAAATTTCAACTTTTCTTTTTTAATTAAAAATTGCATCACTTTATTACATCTTTTTTGCAGATTCCAAAGATGTTGGTCCTACCGGAAACAAAAACGACAACTTCCGGTTATAAGAGAAAAACTAAATAATTTGAGTATTTTACTTTCCCGTACATATTCTTAAAAGAAAAAGTATTTTAAATGAATTTGAAATATGTTATTCAGACTGCAAATGTCTAGAGTATCCTCAAATATCTTTAAAAAATTCACTTACGGTCGCATGTTTTCCTATCTTCAAAATGAGAAATTGTCTGAGCGAGATCTCAAAAACAGTTAAAAGTTTAAGACACCAGGTAAAAGATTAAGACACCAAATTTTTATGAGTAAGAGACCTTGAAGAGTAGGCAAAACCATTTTGGTTAAACATGTCAGTCGTAACTTCCGGTCATCACAGGAAGTGATTAAAAAAATAAAAAAATTTTAACTTTTCTTTTTTAAATTAAAGTTTGTATAAAAGTTTGGTGTCTGAATTTCTTACCATTTCAGAGATCTTGCTCAGAGAACTTCTCATTTTGAGGACAGAAAAACATGCGACCGGAAGTGAATTTTACAAAGATATTTGACGTTACTCTAGACATTTGCAGTCTGAATAACATATTTCAAATTTATTTCAAATACTTCATCTACAAAAGATATTAATTGGAATGAAAAATACTCAAATTATGTAGTTTTTCTCTTATAACCGGAAGTTGACATTTTTGTTTCCGGTAGGACCAACATATTTGGAAACTACAAAAAGAGATGCAATAATGTGATGTAAGTATTGATTTAGAAAAGGAAAGTTAAAATTTTACGATTCTCTGATCACTTCTGTAAGCGACCGGAAGTGCCGATGATGAACGATACCCGGCTAGTATCTATCACGAACTATAATCCCTGAAAGTTTGACATTGATATCTCTTGTCGTTCTTGAGATTATCCGCGGACAAAAGGTCATTTTGAAATCAGAAAATGGTCTGTAACTTGGCACTGGAAGTGAATTTCCAAATTTTCTCTCAGATAGATCAAGTTCATTTTACAACAAACTATTCTTGAAAATTTCATGCAGATCCATCCAATAGTCTTCGAGAAATTGCGTGCACAAAATTAGAAAGTCAAAAAAATAAAAATAATAATAACTAGAAACTCATTGCGAGCAATGAGAGGTCTTCCGTTTGATTCGGAAAATAAAAACGAAAATTCAAGCTGAAACTGTAATAAAAGAAATTAAGACACTCTGGATATTTAACCCTAGTCGTCAGCGTGAAAATACAACGTGCTAACCATGAACCATTCACTTTTTTAGATCACTTTCTGGAAGTAATGGCGATACAAGATTTTCTCACAATTCAAATAAACTGATGACTGACTATCAGTCCTGAAAGTTTTAGTCTTCAGTCGTTTACTGTTGCCGAGCAATATTGTGAGAACAAATTCTGATTTTGAGGTCAGGTAAACACGCGACCGGAAGAGAATTTTATAAAAATCTATGACTTTTCTGTAGACATTTACAGTGTCTACAACACACATAAAATCATTTCAGGTACCATATCGATAAGCAATATTTATGAGAAAGTTAAACATTAAAATAATGTAGTTTATCTCCTAAAACCGGAAGTTGACGTTTTTGTTTCCGATGGAATCTAACATATTTCAAAACAGAGAAAGCGATGCAATAAAGTGATGCAAGTTTTAATTTAAAAAAGAAAAGTTCAAATTTTTGATTTCTTTGATCACTTCCTGTGGCAAGCGGAAGTGACGTGACGCGTTTAACCCAAATGGTTTCGCCTACTCTTCATGGTCTATTACTCTTAAAAGTTTGGTGTTTTAATCTTTTACCTGTTTTTGAGATCTCGCTCAGACAACTTCTCATTTTGAGGACAGGAGAACACGCGACCGGAAGTGAATTTTTAAAAGATATTTAAGGTTACTATAGACATTTGCAGTTTGAATAACATACTTAAAATTCATTTCAAATACTTTATCTACAAAAGACATTAATGGGAAAGAAAAATACTCAAATAATGAAATTTTTCTTTTATAACCGGAAGTTGACGTTTTTGTTTCCAGTGGGACCAACATCTTTCGAATCTGCGAAAAAGATGCAATAAAGTGATGCAAGTTTAAATTAAAATAAAGAAAAGTTGAAATTTTCGATTTCTTTGATCACTTCCTGTGACGACCGGAAGAGACGGCTGACGCTCTTAATCCAAATGGTTTTGCCTACATCTTAAGGTTTGTTGCTCATATAAGTTTGGTGTCTTAATCTCTTACCGTTTCAGAGATCTTTCTCAGACAACTTCTCATTTTGAGGACAGAAAAACACGCGACCGGAAGTGAATTTTTCAAAGATGTCTGATGTTACTCTAGACATTTGCAGTCTGAATAACATATCTAAAATTCATTTCATATACTTTATCTACAAAAGATATTAATGGGAAAGAGAAATACTCAAATTATGTAGTTTTTCTCTTATAACCGGAAGTTGACGTTTTTGTTTCCGGTAGGACCAACATATTTCGAAACTACAAAAGAGATGCAATAATGTGATATAAGTATTAATTTAAAAAATGAAAGTTGAAATTTAACGATTTCTTTATTCACATCCGTAAACGATCGGAAGTGCCGAAGACGAACGAAAAGTAGCGACCAGGCTTGTAACTTTCACGAGCTATAATCCCTGAAAGTTTCACATTGATATCTTTTACCATTCCCAAGATTATCCGCGGACAAAATGTCATTTTGAAATCAGAAAATGGTCCGTAATTTGGCACCGGAAGTGAATTTCCAAATTTTCTCTCAGATAGATCAAGTTCACGACACATCTTTCCTGAAAATTTCATGTAAATCCATCCAATAGTCTTCGAGAAATCGCGTGCACAAAATTAGAAAGTCAGAAAAATAAGAATAATAATAATAATAACTAGAAACTCATTGCGAGCAATGAGAGGTCTTCCGTCCGTTTCTGAAAATAAAAACGAAAATTCAAGCTGAAAAAAGAGATAAAAGAAATTCAGACACTCTGGAGATTTAACTCTTGTCATCAGCGTGAAAATCAAACGTGCTAACCATTAACCATTCACTTTTTTACACCACTTCTGGTCACGACCGGAAGTACCGGAAGTAATGGCTATACAAGATTTTCTCACGCTTCAAATAAACCGATGACTGTGAGATCAAATTCTAATTTTGAGGACAGGTGAACACGAGACAGGAAGTGAATTTTATAAAAATCTCCAACTTTTCTCTAGACATTTGCAGTATACACAACATACATATAGTCATTTCAAGTACTTTATCGATGATCAATATTTATGAGAAAGTTAAATATCAAAATGAAGTAGTTTATCTCCTAAAACCGGTAGTTGACGTTTTTGTTTCCGGTGGAATCTAACATATTTCAAAACAGCGAAAGAGATGCAATAAAGTGATGCAAGCTTTAATTTAAAAAAGAAAAGTTAATTTTTTTAGATTTCTTTGATCACTTACTGTGACGACCGGAAGTGACGACTGACGCGTTTAACCCAAATGGTTTTGCCTACTCCTCAAGGTCTATTACTCATAAAAGTTTGGTGTTTTAATCTTACCTGGTTTTGAGATCTCGCTCAGACTTCACATTTTGAGGACAAGAAAACATGCGACCGGAAGTGAATTTTTGAAAGATATTTAAGATTACTCTAGACATTCACAGTCTGAATAACATATTTAAAATTCATTTCAAATACTTTATCTAGAAAAAAAAATATTGCTGGGAAACCCTAATGTAGATTTTCCGTAAGATCCGTGGAATTCCATAACAAATTCCGTGGAATTCCATGGAAAAAGTGTTCCATGGAATTCCGAGGAATTCTCGAGAGTATTGGGACGGAACTTTTTCGGAATGGTATGGAATTTCAAATCTAGCCTGGAAAAGAGCGGAACAATGCCAGAATAGAAATTTGCGGAAATAGCTGGAAATCCATGGAATTCCAGGATATTTGGAAATCTATGGAATTCCACGGAAATCCAAGGAATTCCAGGAAAATACAAAATACTGGAATAATCAAAATAATTTAAGGGCCAAATAACTACAAAAAAAATGACTACATCACAATTTTTCAGAAATCAAATCTATATTTTCAAAATAAAAAATCATTTTTGCTTTACAATGTGTTTGGGGACAAATATTGCATACACACTTCTATGTATAATGTAAGCACAAATTTTAAAAAAGTATTATCAATGAAAGTATTTTACATCAAAGGTTATTTAAACAATGTTAAAAATCCACAGAGAAATATCATTACTGGATGATCACCTTGGTTTAACTAATGAGAATTATTATAATATACATGCATGTACATGTAGTAAATTACAGTCTGCATAAGAAACAAATGACTTTTGGTTAAAGAAAATCCTTTGTACCTAGAGTAATCTCAAACATATGACATTTTTTGATAATAAAACAAAATAGATTTAAAAAAAAAAACATTAATTATGACCTTTTGCTTCATTAAATGACCTTGGGAAAGGTCACTAAAGCCTTAACAGGGTATATTTGCAACATTTGTATACAGTTACAATGATCTTCCAGTGGTCCATATACATTTACCATACAAACTTTATGACTAGAGTGACAAACATAGGTATTAAGTACACAAATATCTACTACACAACTATATTTGGAAGATCCCATAAAATCAACAAATGCTATTTTCCCCCAACATGCCCCAAGATCCTAATTATTGAAGGTCCTAAGCTTCTGAAATGTTGGCTAGAATCACTTCCTCACTGGTTCTGCTAGAGGGTGGTCAGATAATTGGTGTCACGAATGGATTCACTTTTGGTACGACGGCTTCAAAAGCTCAGAAAGTTTTATGTTGATCATTCCCAAATACACTTCAAACTTTTCTTGCTCAATTTCTGAAAGAAAAGATTACCATAAAGATGTATGATATCTATCTCATATATAAATATATGACAAATAATAAACTAAAGCTATATAAGACAATTGGTTCTTTCAACCTGGCAGATCAGTTTAATACTGTAGAATAGGAATTTATTATCTTGTAATTTTTTGTTCGGATTAGGATTGATTCCTTTTTAAACTAATGAAAGTTGTGAAATTAAAAAAAAAAAAAACAAGATGTGTTTGTGAAACATTGATGCCCCCATATGGCAGCTTATGACTAAGGTTTAAGTTTCTCAAATGCAAGTCAAACTCTAAGGTCAAGGTCGAAAGATAAAAATGTTGTTACACAAAGAAAAGTCTTGTCTCAGGGAATATAACTGTGAAATATGAAAGCCCTAGCACCAAACATTGAAAAGTTATGGCGAAGGTTAAAGTTTATTGAAAGTAAGTCAAATGTCAAGGTCAAAATTAATAGTTCCCAAGGGAAGGTCTTGTCACAAGAAATATACTTGTGAAATATGAAAGCCCTATCATCAACAGGCCTTTCAAAATCTGCTGGTACCCGGTACTTTTACACAGCTGAAATCATGATTGTACCGGCCAAAATATTTGATGGGGAAAAATTCTTCAACATATTTTGTATTTAATTAAAATTGTTTCCACAAGGTACCTCCTATTTTTGTAAAAGTACCACCTGTTTCTGATCTTTTTGAAAGCCGTGCACCAACCATTCAAAAGTTAAGGACAAGGTTAAAGTTTTAAAAAAGTGGATCATAATCAACGGTCAAGGTCAAAATCCGTCAAATTGTTGATATCAAATGGAAAGCCTTCTCACAAGGAAACACCTAATGAAGTATGAAAGCCAAACCTGAATCCCCTTCACCCAAGGATGTTTTGTAACAAGTTTGGTTGATCCTATGGTTCTGAGAAGTCAAAAATGTGAAAAGTTTACAGTCGACAGACTAACACCAGAAACTGATCAGAAAACTCACTTGAGCCTTGAGCTCAGGTGAGCTAAAAAGAAAAGGTTAGAACTAAAGTGTATAAATAAAGAGACATGATTGTGTCTAAGTTAATTAACCTTGAATATGAGAGAGAACATTGTAAATTACATAAACTATGTACCCTTAAAAACATTCAGCAAATAAAGTTAAGGTATGAAAAAAAAGTACATTAGTAAATATAATTTATATACCATATAAAACATTCAGTTTTGCCTTGTCAATGGCTCGTCTTTTGTCTCTTAAGCTTCTGATTAAAAGCACCTTGAACAGGAGTTTGGACGCCTATGCTGCCTTTGATATATTATCCTCCATATTTGCAAACTCTGTTAACTGACCCTTGAAAAGAGGAAAAGACGAATTTATGTGCATATGTAGTTGCTTTAAATGCGCATTGGCATATTTACAATGTAACAAAAATATAGACAAACAAATAACATAAAGTGAATATATAGAATACATTTGTTCTAGGCTTCAAACATGCAAATACATGTACATATTTTTTTTTTGAAAAATTAAGAAAATATTAAAAAAAACTGTTATAAATACATGTAACTTCCATGCATCAATAATTCAGTATTGAGTAAGATAATATATTAGTACATGTATACATATGCTTCTTTATTTCTGGAAATTTATATCTGCGACTAAGATTAAAGGTTTGTGTAAGAATATGATGAATGACATTGACAAGGCGTAGATATAAACTTGTGAACAGGACAGAGAACTGACATAGGAAACAAGTTAAAAGCAACAACTTCTTAAAATAACTAAAATATATTTGAAAGAGTGGAGTCTAACATTTATAATAATTTTTCTCAATGCCTGGCTAACATTGATAAACACATAATTTCAATTCTTTTGATTTTATTGATTAGGAAAATGATTAAAAAATCTGACCTTTGTTTAAATTTCCATACAGCTCTGAGCTCTTGTCCTTTTTGTGAGCATTCCTGTAAATAATGCATGCATAATTTTATGTCATAGAGTATAGTCATTTTTAATATTTATACTTAAATAAAATGTAAAATGATTATGCATGTAGGCATTTAGCATGTTTAGATTACCTGTCAAAAGTTAATTGTTATGCATTATTAAGGAATTAAGAATATAAACCTCTTGTTACTTGCTCAATAAAAAAAATCTTATGCTATAAAACATAAATTAATAAAAACAATGTTAGTTTATTTGTGGTGAATGATAATTTGAGCAGGCTCTCACCATTCTCACAAGCTAAGTGACTGAATGACTTAGCATCTACATCTACATATTAGGACGTTTCATCAAACTTGATGATTATATACTGGCGCTGCATGTGTGAATCGAGTACTTCAACTATAAAATAATAAAAGTAAGTGCTGTGAATGATCATGAACATGCATTAAATAATACATATAATTATTTACATTGTACTCTGTAAATGTAAGTAGTACAACTACATGTACTAAGGAATGTTATAAGCTAATAATTTGGACAAGAGTTCTGAACTGGTCCCAAAGAGGCTGCCGACACCACTGAGCATGGAAGAGAATTCCATAATGTCTCTGCATGGGGGGGGGGGGGGGGACTATATTTTAATTATCTGTGCAAGTACTAAAGGTCTGAAAGTAAGGAAGACTTGAAATGCCTTTGTTAGTGGTAGTCTGTGAAACTAAAAGAGGATTGGGTCTACCGTATTCTCTATTGAGAAGTTGATGGCTCGTTTAATACTCCCCCTCAACTTCTCTACGAAAGGCCTAATAAAAGCAGTTCAGAAATTGACTAAATGAAGAACCAAAACCGGGTCCCACTTCGATCGGTGTTTTAGGATTGATGCATTATCATAGACATATTTTGGATGCACAGATGTTGTTTTGCAATGGAAATGAGATTGAAAATACCGATTCTGCTGACTTAAAAAACATTCATCACGGTAGAACACTTACTTGCGATATCTGTGTCACCGGATTCGTATATTCATTCAAAACTGCGTTTGAACCCGGTTGACCTCTAAAAAAGTCTAAAACTATTTCTCCGGATAACTATTCAACACTGAAACATTTAATCCAATTTATCTGAATAAAAAGTTTTAGACTTTCTTAGAGGTCAACCGGGTACAAACGCAGTTTTGAATGAATAAACGAATCCGGTGACACAGATATCGCAAGTAAGTGTTCTACCGTGATGAATGTTTTTTAAGTCAGCAGAATCGGTATTTTCAATCTCATTTCCATTGCAAAACAACATCTGTGCATCCAAAATATGTCTATGATAATGCATCAATCCTAAAACACCGATCGAAGTGGGACCCGGTTTTGGTTCTTCATTTAGTCAATTTCTGAACTGCTTTTATTAGGCCTTTCGTAGAGAAGTTGAGGGGGAGTATTAAACGAGCCATCAACTTCTCAATAGAGAATAGGTCTACCGCAACTAAGTTGTGCACAACTTTATATCATATAGAGCATTATTAGTCTAGTTTAGATGTTGCAACAGTTTGGAGACACTAATAGTGTTATGATGTCTGTGTAAGATGTAACATGGACTATCGTGGCGCAATTGGCAACGTGCCACTCGCATATATAGCGATGTCTAAGGACATGTTCGAACGGAGGAAATTCGGGTTGAAATCCACACATTGTTCAAACACATTTTGATAAGAGATGTTTAGAGTTGTACAATAGTTATTATACAATAGTTATTACAGAAATGAAACTGCGCTCGCCCTAATGGTTTCATCGTCAGGCATTCTATGTGTGTGGTGCCCAGACTGAGGAACAGTAGCAGAAGCAATTATCCATTCAACTTCAAGGACACATAAAGTACTGTACATTGTACCTACCGGGTCTTTAAATGTCTGCATCTTTTGTCAAAATACAAATTCCATTCCAAGCTAATGGTGACAGCAGTTCCCTTCCTCGTAACACTCTCTTTCCTTCTGTCCAACAATACAACATGGCAGCCGAATTGTTGAATTTTGGCGGGCTGTTGTTTAAATTAATTGTTCATCGAGCCCGACATCGATCCCGACGTAATTGTACTATGAGCCGACAGTTTAAGAAAAAATTCTAAGTTATTTTCCACAGCTTTCCAGAGCAGAAAATGTCTAAGTTTCAGCTTTTCCATAGAATTCCACAACTTTCCAAACCTCAAAATGTCTAAGTCCAAATTTGTTATTCAAATTCCAAAAGATTCCAAAAACTTCCAAAAACACTTTTAGACTCTTGTATGGAAATGTTTGGAATTCCATGGAATTCCAAAACTTTTCCAAACCCTTTCTGAAAATCTACATTAGGGAAGTAAAATACTCAAATTATGCAGTTTTTCGCTTATAACCGGAAGTTGTTGTTTTTATTTCCGGTGGGACCAACATCTTTGGAATCCGCGAAAAAGATGCAATAAAGTGTTGCAATATTTAATCTAAAAAAGAAAAGTTGAAATTTTCTATTTCTTTGATCACTTCCTGTGACGACCGGAAGTGACGGCTGACGCTCTTAACCCAAATGGTTTTGCCTACATCTTAAGGTTTGTTGCTCATATAAGTTTGGTGTTTTAATCCCTTACCGTTTCTGAGATCTTGCTCCGAAAACTTCTCATTTTGAGGACAAAAAATACACGCAACCGGAAGCGAATTTTACAAAAATATTTGACGTTACTCTAGACATTTGCAGTCTGAATAACATATTTAAAATTCATTTCAAATGCTTTATCTACAAAAGATATTAATGGGAAAGAAAAATACTCAAATTATGTAGTTTTTCTCTTATAACCGGAAGTTGACGTTTTTGTTTCCGGTGGGACCAACATATTTCGAAACTACACAAAAGATACAATAATGTGATATAGGAATTAATTCAAAAAAGGAAAGTTGAAATTTTACGATTTTTTCGATCACTTCCGTGCACGACCGGAAGTGCCGACATCTCCAGTTCATATCTTTAACCATTCTTGAGATCATTCGCAGACAACATTCCATTTAAAAATCAGGAAATTGCCGTAACTTGGAACCAGAATGGAATTTTCCAAATTTTCCTTGTGATGAACAAACTTCATACAATGACTAATTTTTCCTGAAAGTTTCACGTAAAGCCACTCAATAGTTTTCGAGAAAACGCCTGCACAAAATTTGGTCAAAATAATAATAATAATAATAACTAGATGAGATCTCGTTGCAAACAACGAGTAGGTCTTCCTTTAGATTTCTGATAAAATCTTGATTGGGAAATTTTGATTGATAAAAGAAAGAAAAACAACTTTAATGTAAAAAATATTCATACAATTCTTCAAAATTGTTTAGCAACTCATAAAAGAGTGAAATCTATCAATTTCAGACAACTTCCGGTATGACCGGAAGTACTCAAAATGACTTTTAACTCCTCACTGAGTGTGGAGGAATCATCCCTCAAAGTTTCGAGGAAAAATGTGCATTTTTTCGACTACTTCCGGTTCGGAAGAAATAACTTCCGGTGGAAATAATATCACTTGAAACATTCTATTTGCCTCTATTAAAAACATTTCAATAAGAAAAAAATGAAAAATTGCATATTTTAAACTACTTCCGGTGGACAACGGAAGTCACGGCAACAAAAACTATACAAGTTTCTCAAATCTACGAATCACTATCATCCCTGAAAGTTTCAAGACTCAATCTCTAACCGTTTTTGAGAACACTCGCGGACAAAATGCCATTTTAAAAAATGAAAAATTGGCCATATCTCGCGACCGGAAGTGACGACGACAAAATAAAAAAAAAACGCATAAAGTTCAGATAATGTGCCATCATTGCTGAAAGTTTCGTGAAAATCTATTGAGGCGTTCTCGAGAAATCGTCTGCACAAGATGGGTAAGAAAAAAAAAAAATAATAATTGTGGAAAAGAAACTAGATTCTCGTTGCGAGCAACGAGAGGTCTTCCGTCCGAATAAACATCCTTAACTGTGATATTCTTTGCACGTAAACTTACATTTATATCTGCTCATTGTAAAGACACCTAAAAATTTAACATGGGTCTTTAACAAGATTTTTTATGTATAAAAAAAAATAAAAAGAGCACAGAATTCACAAAGAGAAAAAAAAAAGTTTAACATCATTGATAAAGATGAAAACGTTAATTTAAGCAAAAAATTCAGATATAGTCGGGATTAAACCAAGATCGGCTGCCCGAAAAGAGCTAGGTTCACTTTATGCATGAAATGGCCCTGCAGATATACCAATTTATTGACTTACACTTTATGTTCCATTTTAAACATCAAAATAAAGTAGAGACTTAGTGCTTTCATTTTCTATTAAAAATTTTCTCCTTAAAGCCAAGGTCTTGGAAAACAGGCTTCATGGAATTGCAATGTTCTTGAATTTTAAGGAAAACAAGTATATTTGAGTACTTTCACAGAAGAGAAATAATATGAGCGCACCCTCTGATCTAAAAAATAAAACAGGTTTTGTTATCCTCAGAAATAGTCATCATTTAAAGATCAGAGGTTAAATTAAATATATATTAAATATTAAATATCGGAATTAAATATATCATATTAAATATATTAAATATCGAAAAATAGCTTTAAAAATTGGCTGCTTTTTTTTTTTTTTTTAGAATTTTTCACGATATGAGGAAAATGACGCATTTCATGACGTCATGATGCATTGGCTAGCCAGAAAATTACGTCATTTTTGATAGATACGCAGTCATCAAAGGTCTAAATGATATTTAATGCATTGTCAACTAAAACCAAGCAGTTTCAGTTTTTCTGAAATTCACAGGGCCAAAAAAGGCCCTAAGTGAACCTTGTTCTTTAATATTGAAACCACTACACTAGCGCAATGTACCAGCCATCATCGATGTTTACCTTGCACTCATTCCCTGAAGTAACGAGTGTCAGGCAGGTTAATCTTTTTTTCTTATAGTGTGGAATTATAGGATGAACACTAGCCAGCTAAATTTTGTGCAAGTACTAGAAGATTTACATCGGATTTGTTACTTGAGTTTTAAGAATAACTGATAGCAGAGAAAATAATCTGTTACTGATAAAAACTAAAAAAAAAACTATTGTGTTTACTTCCTTTATTCTTAATGCATTCAACTTTCTATTCTATGCAATTCCAAATACAGACATCTCCGTGAAATCTTTTTCTGAACTTCTACACTACTGCATCAGACAATTTGTGAAAGGCAGGTCAAGATACATTATTTCGCGCCAAACGTCACGAGAAAATCTTTGCGCCTTTTCTTTGGAATGTGTCTTCAATTGAATAAGTGTACGTGATAGCTTCAATGAAATTTTTTTAAAAAAAATATGTTGCTATAGCCTGATTTTCGAGCCTAAGAATGTATATTTATCACACTGTACATATAACATACCATATACGGGCAAGTAACATAAAGGCAGCGCTAAGTTTTCTTACACATTTTATATTCCTCTTACCCCCAAAGTAGATTATTCCAATTAGTAACACATTAATGAAAAGACTGGAATGCTTCGCAACAAAACACGTCTCGCCATATGACGCTCAAGGAATCTGATACCTATTATGTTCAGTTACTTGCATCTATAAAGGAATATTGCCCTACTAAAATCAAAGAAAAATATCATTGAAGTTTATTTTTCTCCCATTTGAAATTGCTATATGTTATTCAATCAACATGAGATTTAACAAATTCTACTTTCAAAATACAATTCGGCAAATCTCCAATTTATGATACAATTGCATAGGTATCTAGCTACGTATACATTTGTTCCAACATGTGTTCCTCGTTTTGTCATATCACAATTGCATATATGCACATTAATAAGTGCAAAATTCAACTGCAAACTCTTTATGATGGAGTAAAAAGACACGCTGATATTGTGCCATCAAACACCGCTGCTCTGACGTCGAACGACATAGCCCCCCCCCCCCCCCCCCCCCCTTAAAGATAAAATCTTATATTTGAGCCCCAAAAAGTGAGGGAAAAATTCGGACATTCTTTGGATTGAATCCGGATCGCCCACGTGAAAATTCAACATGCTAACCATTACGCTATCAAACATCATCGTTTAAAATTGAAAAATGATAAATATTTAGAGTATGGGTTACCGTATTTGGCCGAATATAATACGCAGTGGTGTAAAATACGCACCCCCCTTTTTGATCCTGAAACTGGGGGAAAAAACGCAGTTCGGTTGTATTATACGCAGCAGAAAAATTTACCAAGCGGTGTTCTGAACTTTTGAAAATCGCGGTAATTTGCTATGAAAATCGGCGCGGAGATAAAGTGCTGAAAATCTACAGAACACGATATATTTTATTCAAATGCGTTTTTATTTTTTAATCTTGACTTTCCATATCGCGGCAATCTGGAGGAAATTATTTATTTTAACAAAGCACGAGATAATGTTGCATTAAAGTATTAACAGAGTTTATTATTTTTTTTTTTTTTTAGCAAACGGTGATGTTGAAATTATACGTCGCCGTATTCTAACTATTCTTTGTGGAAATAATTTTATTTCAACAAAGCACGAGATATTGTTGCAAGTTTAACAGTTGTCATATTTATTTTTAGTTAAAGATAATCATGTTGAAAATTATGTAAATTTAACAGGGCAAGCGATATTGCAACATCAAAGTATTCATAGACTACGATTTTCCTCTTTTGAACTTGAAATTAATTAATTAAATAAATAGCTGATGTTATAAAAATAAAATCAAAAATTAACAAGCATATAAAGTGTAGTTATCAACACACCTCCAAAGCTGTGAAAAATGATGTACAAATGTGGGATATATGTCTTCATACATCGAGGTAGTCTTCGTGGATATCTTATTTTCTACAGAGCATGAGTAAATGATAACACTTAAGTTTCAACATACTTCATATTTCCTTTTTTAACTCTCAATCATTTTAACACAAGGCCGATATAAGATAAAGTAAAATTACATT